CCGTATCCGTGGCCGTGGATAATGTCGCCGGTCAATCGAGTGCTCCTCAGATAATCGAATGGGAGGAGACCGATCGTTACTCCTTCGACGATTCTGACCGTTTCGAGGAGGATTCTCTGTGCAGCTGGAGCAGCGAGCCGGAATCGTTGTGTAATAATTGGAGGGGATGGCGACGACCTACCGCTGGTTTCGGCATTACCAAGAAGTTTACGGAAGGTGAGATTTTTCTTTTTTCTTTATGCCGGCTGATGTCGGTGAGTATAGCGTGTTCGAAGTTTGGTGGTCATTCAAGGATTAGGGAAACGCGAAGATGGTACCCCGCTGGGGGTAGCCACCCGCATGTTATATTATTATACCACTATAATATTTTAACGCTATAATATTTTACCAATATCCTACTGGACAAATTGTAAAATTTAAATAAATAAATAAAAAAAAAACCTATTTGAAGACGAAGAGGGGGAAAGTAAGATGGATATGATGACCTTGAATGATTCAATGATTTAGAACATGCTATAGCTATAGCACTGTGTACCACGTGGATTTGTATTGTCGCACGTATGTTCTATTATAAGGTGATTCAATTTAGACGTATGAATGGTTACATTAAGTGAAATTCTTATGTCGATACGTAGATTAATATGAAATGAATCTTGTGTAATTGTACATAATAATACACGTACATATTATGTACATAATAGTACATAATCGGCGAATCCTTTGCGAATAGCTTTGATGCATCAACTGGAAAATTAACACGAACGATTAATTGTGTAATCCGTGTAATTGTAATAACGTGACGTAGAAATAGGGAGGAATTTTTTTGTTTATGACGCGAATTGATGGAATTTTCTAATTCGTTATTCCGAAGCGTTTTTGATCTTAGTCGTCAGCTATGCGTCGAGTCGTGTGGTCCGACGCAGTAGATCCATTATCTTCGGTAGCCTAAGACATATGCATTGTCACTGTGTCCGCAAGATGAACGTGTGGCAATGCATTATAATTCTCGCGTCTCTTTAAGCGTCGCTGAAGATGCCCGCGTATCCTATGACGCATACAAATTCCACGACCCGTTGGCTCGAGTAAGCAAGGTTAATGATTTCCCATCTTCCTGATGCACCGTCACGTTTCTTCGTGCTGTTTCATTCTTACCTGTCGTCTCACCTTCCGCAATCGGTGACGCTTGACTTTCCATAAAAGGGACTCGATGATTTTGGGTCGATCGGTATCAACGTTTTCTTCCTTAATAACGCCATCTGCTAGTTTGTAAAGCTTTCACCATATAGAATATCTTCATTTTTAACGCTAGAGAGATTTCCTCGCGGAAATATCTCCAAGCAGAGAAAGTAGCTGTCATAATAGAGGGCGCGAAGTTTAAGCCATATTCTGGTTGAAGCGGAACGTTCTCGGTTCGAGGACGCATTGAAAACTCGTTTCATGATAAATCAAACAGAAAAAGAGCGTCGAAACGGTGATCGAAGTTCTTTTTTCATACTTTTAACTGTAATTGAGTTGGCACGTGGCCAACGTTCATGTGTCGCGTAAATTACTTTCTTACCTTTGCTCGAGAGCGTATGTTACACCTTGTAATAATAATTTACTACATGGTTGCGCGGTGTGAACCGAACCGTGAAGTCGAAGTCAGTTATTTTACTGCAACGTTGATTTGATCGTGTCTGTCGTAAAAACACGTTCCATACAGTTACACAATTTTTTTTCAAAGCACAAGATCGTTTGGCGAACAGGAGTGTATCAATAAGTTTTTCGGACATGGTGGTTGGTGTAATTGAATTTTTTGCGATATCTTTCTCAACATATTTCTTTTCATTTTGCACTCATTGTATCGATAGTATGAAAAACGTTAGTAGATAACGTAGTTGTGCTATTAGGTCGAATGCACACGAGCGACATTTTATCGCGCGATGCCGCTACGGCCATATGTCGTGTCTTTGTTTTCCTATTAAGAACAATAAAGACAGGCATATGGTCACAGCGGGATCGCGCGGTAAAATGTCGCTCGTACGCATTCAGCCTTAAACGATATCTTATTTACGTGTAAACATTCCCCTGATTTGACGGTTCTATCTTGAAAAAGGCAGAAGATAGAGGAGCAATCGTTAACAAACATTGTGTCATAATATAGAAGCTTTTATCAGGCACGTGAGATTGCGTCTTTCGCATAGAATACGTATCTTGTAATATATCATCGTCATTATCCACATTCATAGAATTTTATCGCATTTCGTTATGTGCGAAATGGATACTACTTTAACAGAATTTTAATCTTCCAATGAATGGTAATTCGAAGCGTCATATGCAATTGTACTTTTGCAATAGCAATCCTTTTCAATCTATATGCAACTTCATAATCTCACTTGTTGCATATTGGATAAAATTCAAGAAGTTGAACCATCTTTCATCTACTATTTATTACTTTTTTTTTTTATCAGAGACATATTACAAAGTGTTCCATTGTCCGCTGAATTTCTTCATATATTATTCTCAAGTTATATTTTCATAACGTTATATAGCTAAACTTTAGATATCTAATCTCCTATCAGAAATACAAAATAGGAGAGTTTTTTTAACAAAGTTAGTTCTTTATGTAACTTTATAGACATTACATATGAATAAATTTAAACATAAAAGATAATCAGATAGGTTTTGTTCTTCTTAAAATTTAACAAGCTCTTAAAGGATTAGCATCCTCGATGGGATTAATCATAAGCAGGTTTCTCAATCTCAGTTTCCAATCGAAACGAACGATTCGTACAGCCGTGTCTCGCGTCGTTTAGCCAGGCACACGCGTGTATCTGGACGGAACAGAGGGGAAGTCAGATTTCACTTCATCCTCGCCGCTTCTCCCTGGTATATATACTCCTTTCCTTTTTCTGCACGGTCCTTGCTCCGCGGCGAGGCGATCAAGGCCGAGAAAAAGACTAAACGAAGAACGAGATAAAGAGAGACAGAACGAATCGTACTCGCTCTCATTTGCGCGCGTAAACACTCCGCCTCGCGCCCGAGCAACGTCTTCGGCAACATTGGATATTATCAGGCGATACAGTTTACCGCTAAAATATGCTAATTGCGTGCATGTCTGGTGAATTAACGTGTTTTGTTTCAGAACACTCGATCAAGTGAGCTTTACAGTCATTCGTGAAAGTAATTTCGGCGGTGAACGCTGCGGAACAATGTTAATGAGCGTCGAGGCATCGTGTTCGTATACGCGTTGGCCTAATTTGGAGAAAGCGCTAGGAGAATCGAAAGGGAAAATAGGGTCGAGAGGTTTTCGTGATGTCAAGAAGTAAATAGAAAAGCCCGACGCGCTAAGGAGATTTTAAGATCCTTCGAAAATTTCGATACTTTTTTGAAATCGTTATTTCGTTTCGAAATATTTCGTCGAAGGGATATTCCTCTTTCCTCGATCATTACTCGAAACAGTTTCTCTTTTCTTTTCTGTTTGGCTGTAAATTTATTAATTTATTCTAATAAACGGAGGAACCCATATGTTCTAATACAAATCCAGACAACAACAAAATCAGTTGTTGCGCTAAATAAAATATTTTTTGCTCGCATCAATTTTAGGCAGCGAACTATTCAGTTCGTTGAGAATGGTCTGCTCTTACTTCCAACGCCTCGTATATTCGACTTTTTTTCATTCGACGCGTTATGCCTTCTCACATTCATCTACAATTCAAAACGAGTCACCCTGTACGTGGTACTTCATAAGTTTATAAAAATGCCCACCTTTTAACACGTTCGGAAGACGTAGAGGGACGTCATAACGGTTGTTCCATAAGAGCACGTGGGTATTTTTAGACACGGTCCATTTGCAACGGCGAAGGAACATCGTTCCAAGTGTGTTATGCTTTAATTTTCCGTTAATAAGCATGCAGGCGTACGCGCGCTGAGTTTTGAACGGTTTCCCTCGTCGCCGGTTACGACACGCGTTTCCTTCTTTTATTTACACGGGTGCCACCCCTTTAAGAATTGCGACCACGTAGAGAAAGTATCTCATTTTACTTTCTCGGCGCATGCGCGTACGCGACGCGCATGCATTTAGAAAGTATATACGCTCGTTCCCGGAGACGCGTTCGTTCTGTGTCGTTGCACGACCGGTCACGTCGGTTTTCCACATGACCAGTCGATCGCTTCTGCCTAGAATTTTCAAGGTTATCCTCCATCTGCAACACGCGACGCTAATTTGCTACTTTCTGTCACGCGGATATACGCGTCGATTACGAACTCTTGTTTTCCATCGGCGCGACTCCGTGAATGCTAATAGATGCGCGATTGATGCTGCGTATGAGCTGATTGAACGTCACGGAAGCGTTCGTCTGATACGAAAATTAATTCTTACTTCAACATTTACAGAGATTCCAATTGCGATCTAAATTCATGCTGCGATTCAAATTTAAATTTCAATTTAAAGATTCAAGTTGGAATTTAAATTTGCACGAGAGTCGAAGTATAGATAGATACCAATCGCAATTTGAATGAATTAATATTCATTAAGCACTGAGCGATAGTTGGCCGTAACGTTTTCAATACTTCGGTTTATTAAAATTTCATAAAACTGTAAAATATAATTTCTTGAAACATCCTTTCATAGCCGCGTATGATATTAGAAAACTGAATTCGATAACGTAGACTGTGTGAAAATGATTGCAAACGAATGGATACGTTTTTTGATCTATGTAGTCGATGAAGGTGATATCGCAAAAGAAAAAGTAAATTAATGCAAACATGCAAAGCGCATTGTTTTAGTCACGCTATCCATTAAAGTTTTTGTATGTTCATATCATAAAGGCAAATTAACTCTACGAGTTATTGTAATTTATCTTTTAGCGCGTCGCGTTATATTTTGTTCACTGGCGTGTTTTCTATCGTAGTATTGCAAGATTGAATTCTTAATTGTAATTCATCAATACTCTAGAATTTTCTTCAAAAATTTGTTCGCTAATGAAAATGAAGGAAATGTTTAATTCACTTCGCTCGAAGTGGATTCGAGGATCCGCTACGATGATCCAACCGATACCATTCCGATTTCATTAACGATCGTGTGACGAAGAACGGCGACGACGTGGACGCGTCACCCGGTATGTAGCAAGTGAGCAACCCTGGCGCACATCTATGACACGCCTATACCTATTTGAAAGCGTGACAGCTTGAGTCAGTGTACGGTCACGCGCGCCATGCCATCCGGATTTCAATTA